GGCTGGGTGTTTGTAGAATACAACTTTTACGCTATATGCAGACTTCTTGCTGGTACAATTTGGACAACAGGATCACGGTAGCCTACCTGGACGCTGGCTCATTGTTTTGTCCTCTTTATTCGACCAAGGTGAACCCGTAATTGTTTAAGCTAACCTAGAGACGATCATAACAATTGGCGACGGTGTTGGGATCTTAAGTTCACATTGTTCATCAACAGTCAGTCACCAGGCCATCGGCACTGATGAGACTCCCAAGATAAGTGAAGCGGTCAACACGCTCGACTACTTCACTCCCTATCACTAGTTCAGGTGCCGATGAAACCCAATCTTGAAGCAACATTTTGCATTTCTAGGGTAAGAACCGCATCCCGAACATGCTTGCATTGTTGCTTAGAGTGGTCAGAAGACTCTGCGTTTTGTCAGCGTCTTCACCAAGTAGGACTATGTCATCGGTATATTCTAAGTCAATAAGCGAGCCACCTGGTAAAAGGTCTACTCCTGAAAATTCAGACGAGGATAAGGTTATTTCCAGGAGCATGTCTATGATAAAATTAAACAAGAATGGGGAGAGTGGACAGCCCTGACGGACACCACTTGATGTAGAGAATTCCGGTGACAGTTCGCCATAAACCCTCATTTGACCAATGGTGTTCGAGTACAGAGCTTGTATAAGGTTAATGTACTTATTTGGTACACCTTTCAATGACAGACACTGCCACAGAACCTCACGATCCACAGTGTCAAATGTCGCTTTTAGGTCCAGGAAAACAACTATTGTAGGACGCCTAAATGTGTGTCTATGTTCCAGGACCTGTCTGAGTGAGAAGACGTGGTTTATGCAACCACGTCCAGGTCTGAAACCAGCCTGGTTTTCTCGAGTCTGCTCTTCACGAGCTTTCGTTAGGCGCCGAAGTATTATTGAGGCCAATATTCTAGATACTATATTAGTTAGACTTATTCCCCTGTGATTGTCACAAGAAGACTTCTGTCCTTTCTTATAGATTGGGACAATCAAGCATTGAGACCAGTTGGATGGGATTATGTCCAGTTCCCAGATTCTACCTAAGATCTCAGTCAACCTAGCTGATAAAACTGGACCACCATCCTTAAATATCTCAGGGGTCAGTCTATCAGGACCTGCACCTCGCCCTCGCTTCAGATTTCCTAACGCTTTTTCAACTTCATTAGGACTTGGGGTACTTACGTCGATTTGACATTCAGGTTGACTGGAGATCGTGGGTAACCGAAGAGTGGCTCGAGGCCAGTTGAACTGATCCCTTGTGTTCTGCCCATCGATCCGGTCTCCTGGATTGAGAATAAATAATAGTCCCATCCGAGATAGTCTCACTTACACTAGGATTCCTAATACCAGTTTCCTTTATAAGGAGGAAAACTTGTCTAGTGTGTCCTAACGCCGCTACCTTTTCCATCTCTCTCGCTTTCGCCACCCACCACCATTCACGCTCGTTGCGCAGGCTTTTTATCAGTCTGCGCCTAAGCTGACTTCGTTCTTCATCATGTTTAGAGTCAGGTGGGATGAGTTTTCGGGCATCCATCAGATCGGTGTATGCTAGTGAGATACACGGCTTCATTCTAGCCTTATGGTCAACCTTACTAGCAGATATCACTGCTGTTTTCACAACTTTTTGGATATCATTCCAACCTGACTCGCTTACATGGTTGCCTAACTCTCTTTCTAGTTGCTCCTGAAATATATTCCTAGCTTTGTTATCATTAAGTAGAACCCTAAGAGGCTTTCTTACGGTGTCTTTCCTACGTCCAGTAAGCTTCAAACAAATACGCGCTCGCACTAGGGCATGATCTGAATCTAAACATGTGCCCCAGAACGAGCGATAGTCCTCTATCGAACCCCTCCATCAGTGACTGATGGCAATATGACCCAGCTGCGTCCAACGCTGAGACGACCTTCGGGGTCGCCAGGTCAAAAGATGTTTTTCCTTATGCTTAAAATAAGTGTTTGCTAGAAATAGGTGGTTATCTGAGCACAGTCGCAACAGACGAACGCCATTGTCGGTTCTCTGAGCCGCGACACCATAACATCCACCTGGGTGTCTTTCATTTTCACTTAGTCTACCTACTTCAGCATTAAAGTCACCAGCCATTATAAATATATCAGAGCTCTTAAGTTTTTGGGGCAGTTCCGAAAGCTTTCTGTAAAACTCACCTTTCACATCGTCTGAACTGCAGTCAGTGCAAGCGTAAGCAGAGACAACAAACAGGCAACGGCCAGTGTCCCTATCCTTCCGAATCCTTACTGTCCCGTTCAGTCGGACGGCGCACAAGTGACTATCTACTGGGCTCGAGTCTTGGACACCTAGTTCTGCCCTAAGATTCAATGCTATACCTACACCAGCAAGATCCCGGGAAGCAGAACCAGGGCTACCGGATACACGAAGGGTAAATCGAGTTGCTTCATCATCTTGAAATGGTGAGGCCAAGTGAATGACGCTTCTAGGATCCTGTATGCGCGTTCGGAGACGCAGCACACATCGGTGGCACGAGATTCTAAAGTCCTAGCTAAGGAAGCCTGTTGCCCTACTTGACACAGTGTCTGTACATTATATTCCCATGATTTACTGTAATTTAAGTGGTCAGTATGAATTTTATCTTGATTTACTACTGTATTGATTACTTCAACATGACAGGTTAAGTAGTGCTGTGGTTATATATATACACTTGCCACACTGCTGCCTTTTTCTCTCTCTTTTCTCCCTTTTCAGAACCCCATTCACGGTGGGATATCCTTGGCGACTCTAGGGAACACGCACCCTATGTACATGACTGTCTGGATCTAAGCTCGTATCAAGCGCGTTCCAATTGACTATTCCCAACAAATTCACTATTGATCTCGGCAAATCGCCAAAAGAACCTATTGTGCACCTTCCTTATTTGTACTCCACTATCGAAAATGTGGCTGTATTATACTGTTTCTGTCAGTGACATGGTGTAAATATGCTATCAGAAACTGACTCATACTTAATTTAACTGCTATAACTTTTACAATAAATGTGAAAGCATTTGTGACAATTTGATCTAGCCTGTAAACTGGCGTGACTCCTGTAACGTAGTTATTTGAGAATAAATATATTATTATTATTATTAAAAGACCGAACATGTAGTTTAGAACGGGGTTTCAGGAGATCAGGAATGACGTTTCATGAACTCGAATCGTTTGCTGCAGAGGTGCGGGGCGATAAAGCAATGTGAGTAGGGTTAGTCGTGGAGATAAGAGAGATATCAGGGGTATAGAAAGGATTTGATTTTGACCAATTCGGTCTCGTGTGCTGTTACTGGTATGAGAGCGGTTGTCGCTTCCCGGCTGCCCACACCATGGAAGGGTTTTTCTTGAGGAAACTGAAAAGGAAGGTGGTTTGGAGTTGGTCTTAGAGACTTGGTTGCGTGACCGCAGAGCCCAAGGGACAACTGCTTGAGGCTGGTCACGCACAGCCTTTTTATTAAAGGTATTTTGAGTGTTAGCTCCACTCTTAAAAGCCCTTAGTGGGCACCCTTACTGCCGGAGACGGAAATCCGTGAGGTAGTTTGAGGTGTGACATTTTTAGGGTCGACCTTTTCTAACTCTTCCTTCCTTGTGAGAAGGCAGCATCGCTGCAGATGCCGGTTTCCCGAGGGAAACACCTTACTGCTGTCACATCTCTCTGCAGTCAGCAGTACGACTTCGCCATCAGACCTTGGGTAGCTGCTTTTAGTCTCATCGTTCAACAATCGACCTGCCTGGCATGGCAGAACCTTCAGGAACATATGTTCCAACATCGAAATGTGTGACATTGATAGATAGGACCACCAGTAGGAATTGACCAATAGAATTAGACTTACTAAAAATCCTCTTACGATACTCGGCAAATATTCTAACAGAGTTGAAGGTTAATTAAGCGACTTATGCGTGAAAACTTAATAAAACCAAAATTTCAGAAATAAATTACAGCTTAGGACTTTTTCCAATTGAGTTCTGTGGATCTAACGTCTCCAACAGATAGTGATTACTGGGAATTTCATAGATGTATTTTGCGTTTAATCATGAAAAATTTTGTCACTTAACGAAGCCAGAATCTACTAATCAACTATTACCATTTAAAATAGAAAACTTGTAGCTCAGGTGGATGATTGTGGTGGTGTCGTCGATCCACAGTGATTTGATAATATATGAGTTTTCAGAATCGGGTTAAAACAAGGAGTGGCGAATGCAATATGTCGTTATACATTAAGTTTAATTGTTCACTTCAAACCAGAACAACATTTGTGACAAATTTCATTCGGCATTCAGTTTTTTTACACTTTTCCAAATGAGTCAAACAGAGAAACAATAGATGCTGATCAAAGTAATTCATTTTATCGATGGCTCTTTGACACTTATTAAAATCTCTTTTTTAAAGCACTCAGTAAGCCGTCAGTTATATGAAGACAAAAGTACCACTAGGTGTATGCTACTTGGACAACATCAACACGTACATCATACACCATTCCTATCATCACAACACAATGAAGATCCCCTAATAACTATTTAAGAACTGGCACTTAAGCACCGTATTTAAAAGCATACACGCATAGCAATTGGAAAAATATTAACAAATAAATGATAGATACACTTAAGAAGAGAAGCTTTCTACTACTACTACTACCACTCCTAATAGTGATAAAAAGGTGCATGATGTTGAGAACCTAAATCTCATCACATAAAGGTTATCTGTATTCGGGCAAAAAAACTCCACCAGTACCATATAGAAGACTAGAAAAGCGCAACATTGATCACTAATCAGTAATCAATCAGTTACAGACATATGTGTCCTACAGGTCAGGCGTCTGTGACCTGAATAACTGAGCTCTGACTTGTGTAGACTAGGATAGGCTTCAGTGCAAACTGATCGATAGAAGTTAGTTAACATACGAAAGGACCAAACAAGTAGGACATTACCTACTACCCAATGATCGATAGATTGTAAAGGAAAGAATATTTTCATTCAGCCCTTAAGAAGTAGTACAAACAGTTTAAAAGAATATGTGGAAATAAATTACACAATAATAAGATGTTCAATAACAAAAACGTTTGTAAATAAAATATTTCTTACAAAAATAATTGTACAAATGATCTTGGAGAAAAACGTTTATTTCAGTTTTCAACCTCACTGTTTATTTATCAATACAGAAACTTTATCCAATGAAACTCGTCCATGCTTAACATCAACACTCGATACCGTAGCTTTGATTCGATCACCCAAACGTAAAGTGAACATTTTGTGATGACTATCACAGCGGTCGCTGACGCCAATTCCAGTAGACATTTCACTGTTAACTCCTCGGTTAGAAGTTGGACAATCTCGAGGGTAGGCATGTCGTGGGATATAGGCGTTTTCTTCAACACCGATATCACAAAATGCACCGAATGTGGTAACATTCTCTACACGACCTTTCACTTGCATACCTTTACGTAAATCCGATATCTTCAAGATGCTCGAATGAAACAATGGAGTAAAACAGTCTAAAGCAGAATAAAACCATGATATCTTGTTAAATGTCATGGTAATTGGAAAAATATTCACAAATAAGTGGTAAATAAATTTAAGTAGGAACGTTCTCTACTACTAGCACTACCAATATTGATAAAAAGTTGTATGAAATTAAAGCCCTAAGACGTCGCCTCATACATGTATTTTTCTTAATATTCAGTACTCAAAATTCGATAAACCAAGCTGAAAAATAGAGTATTACACAAAACCTGTGAAACGTTAGAAGACAGATAATTATGTGGAAGGTGAAAGGAAGTCAACGATTATGTAATTTAGTGGTGAATTATTTCTCTCAGTCAAGTCAAGTGATCTGCTGTCGACTAACTGCTAGCTAGTCCAATTCACTCGAATCTATGAAAATTGACCAAGTATTGGAAACGTTGTATACCGGATTACTATTACTATTTTCATTATTGTAGATATCGTTTCACTAGTGTGGTTGGTGAACATCAATAGGAAGTATCGGTTATTTCGTAAACATACTTAATATCGCGTCAGCAGTCATAATCCATATTTGATTTCAAGTCACAGGCTTTACAAATAAGTATCGTTTCATAGTATTACAATAGCATATGTAAAAAAAAAGCACATGGTAAAACATTAAAGACAGGTAGTATTCATCTGATAACCTTATTCTATTGTCTACGACGAACTAGACAGAGAACCAAACCAGGAAAGTCATTAGGTGTATGTTCCAAGCAAAATATAAAAAGAAATCACTGGGTAACTGGTTTGTTTTAGGAACAACTCTGACAGTAAACAATTGTTGAACATATTCAGTTATGATAAACCATATTTCTCAATTGACTAACCAGTTCAAACTATAGTTTCAATATAATAAATCCTAGTTAACGAATACATGAAATTATTCTTACCTTCACGCTCATCAAAATCCAAAGGACGTGTTAGTGCTGCAACAATATCACGTAATGTATCAAGCCCAATAGTTTTTGAACAAAATTGCTCAAGTTGTTTATCTCCTAAAAGAACAAATCATTAAAATAATAGAGAATGAAGATATTTTTGGCATTGATAAACTTTGTGTTTGTCAATTAAGATATCTCCTTTTTTTTATAAAGTTGAGTGAGTGGAGATAGTTCATATCAAAACAATACTAGAACACACATTTTGTTGAGAAAAGTAAAGTATAACAACGCTCACTGTCTTCACTTATCATTAACTTTGTCGCAGCTGTTCTCATTTTCATTGATCCTACATCCGTCAGATTTAATTGGAGCAATGAAATAATTCTGTAATGCAAAAGATTACAATATCAGAAAAACAATGAAGTATAATAATATTAAAAATTGACATTAACATTAAAACTGACACACTTTATTACGTAATAATATAATTTACCCAGCCTAGTTACAATAATGATATAACCTTCTCATTAGGTATACGTTTGTTTTCCAAATCAAAGTCGCCCTATTGGCTGTACAGACAAGATATGAGAGTACAACATTTCCCTTAAATAACTAGATTCTGAAGCAAGACTTCCTTATCATGATGGATCGAAAGGGCTATAAATCATCCATCTTAAATTTAGCACACATCAAATTACATCCCATGGATTTGCATATCCACAGCTTTTAATGTACAGTGCTAACTCATCCACAACTACTTACGGAAACGCAGTGTGCAGCTGGCATCGGTTAGCTGGTTCTTGAACTCTAGGTTCAGGCTTTTGAGTAGCGAAGACAATTACTAGTCGAGATTACTTTTGAACTATACTTTGCAAAGCATCTCTTCATATGGTGTGATTAACGAAGAAGTGACCATTACTCACACAACTATAACAGTCCTAAATATCATTTGATGGGTTTACGTAGTTGGCTTTAGGTTACAACTTAAATGTGAGATCTAGTGAAAACTGCCACATTGCTCAAACATATTCAAGGAAAATCGAGTTTGAATATGCAACTTACTATTTGGCAAGTGTTTTTTTTTACTATCAAACCACTGTTTAAACCAATGCAATACTTGCTAAGAAAATACAAAACACTCACTTTGCTGCAACTTCATATGAATCAGGATGAACAGCAGTTTGATCTAGTGGATTAAAACAATTCACACCAGATTGATCAGTAATTGCTGTATTCATTAACCGTTGTTTTTTACGTTTCTTGTTGAATTCATTGAAGTTATGTTTACGTTTAGTACTACCAGTGGAAATATTGGTTATTCTAGTATCACAAGCAAAATCATCACCGTTATCGTCATCATCACTGGAAATGGATATCATTTCAACGTCCCTAAATTGTTTTTTTGGAACAAACATATAGAACAACAAAATATAGAATGTTTTCAGTACAACCACTCGAAACAGAACGTATACACACAAATATAAACATATGTAACAAACCTCTGCAGCATTGTACAGAAGAAAACAAACAAGTAATTGTTTTTAGATTTTGCAACACGAAATGAGCTTAGTACGAAAACTAATGGAAACCTAGAAGCAACATAGAGTTGTTTTTATTTACATATGACTCCTCATTTGTTTTCGATTCACGACCCCAAGGGAAAGTGGACCCAGTATATCTGGTTGTTTCTCGATGACCGCTTAGGTTTTATACTACTGAATCAGCAGATAAAACTGAACATTTCTAATTTAAAGCATCCAGCAACAACCAAATCTCATATAACTATCTTGTACTAGAAATGATTGAACTACTCTGATTACGGGCTCTCGCTAGAATTACCAAGAATCACATTTCGAAATTAGTTAATAGCGAGCACATGATTACTAACTAGTGTAGAGAGTTTGTGGAGATTACTTAACTATTATCCGTACCGAATGTTAAAGGACTACTTACTATCATCACCACATTACTCTTTGCATAGATCAGTTTATAAGGAAGCGATTCATATACGAAACCTGTTTACACTACTATAATCGACTTTACAAGAAGTATACAGACCGATTGAAAGACTAACAAACTGCTTTCAAAAACAATGGTTCGTTTTACCACACAGTAAAAATCATTATCCCGAAATGACTTCAGTGATATATTTTCAAGTTAAGAGAGTTTGTAACGAAATACGGTTTACATTCATTGTATTCCAAACAGACTGATCTAAATGTATTACACTATCAGTGAAACTTCGAATAAATTCAAGGTATAGATATTTCGATTTATGAGTAATGGGCAATCTTACAAAAGGGCAAAAGAACATCTCAATCTTCTTAAGTTCAACTGTGATGTTTCCTGTTAGGAAATTCACAGATTGTGCAATGCCAGTTGGTCACAGATGCGAAAAATCAATACGATCTGATTAACAAACAGGCCAAACAGTTCACAATGAGTGAAAATAACGAATGCTTACAATGTCTACGCCATTTATCAAGTTTAAAAACAACTAGCCATGAAAAGTTATAAATTAAATGATGAAATACAATATTTGGAACAATGTCAAGACAACATGTGAAGTTAAAAAAGTATAAATTACATTCAAATGAAATAGATTTATTAGTCAACCAGCCATTAGCAATGTATAACCGGACACAAATGTGAACCGGTAGTTCAAATTTTTCAACCGCACCAGTAAAGTGAAATGAATGCCATAATAGTAGCAGCAGTTGTAGTGGAGTTTGGCTCACTGAGCTGGAGTTTTCATTGTTCTTCTGAACAAGATCATCAGCACAAACTTCAGACAGAAGTGAAGTAACCCAGATTATCAACCAGTCAGAAAAATCATAGACAAACAATGGATCAAGAAACAGATCAAATGGGAATATAATCAAAATAAAGGTGCAGACAATGAAAGGTTTAAGGTTAATAACATCCAACCGAGGACAAGGTTAACAGAACAAGCTACGGGTCATACGTGCACAAGTTCGAATACTTAACTTGTACTGAAGATGTCGTTCAGAAGAACAATGAAACATCCACAACCAAAATATCCAGCTCAGAAAACGAAACTCCACCACAATCATTCAACTGAGCTGCAAATTTTCTCCATTTCAAACTGGTAGGAGTAGAATCTGTATGCAAGCACCGTTCCACGGTGCAGACAGCCGGGAAGTAACATCCGCGCTCATGTCCGTAACAGCACAGGAGAACGAAATAGTCGAATCCTGGCTAATTCAACTGCTTAAGAATTTATCTTGTCAATTTAATCTGGTCATGCAGAAGTAGTAAGACAAACTAGGCTAAGGCTTATCTGTGTCAAGCTCTGCATTAACCATAACTGAGTGCTGACTGTATTCAATTTTCAGAGTAAGCATGAATCCAGTCAACCTGAAACTTATGAAAATGATTATTTTCATGTTTAAGCAACATTTATGCAACCAGAATTTCACACTGTCACTCACCTATCTTAACTATAATTTTGTGGAATCACTGATAACACAAAGCCAAAACACTTACTTAGTACCGTCTAAAGTAGTTGTAGAATAGGTGGGTTTGACTCGTACAAATCCAGCACATTGAGCGAATGTAGCTTGTCCAATACCTTTAACCTGAAATAAAATCGTTATTGATAAATTATCTCAAATAATTAACTGTAATTTTGTTTGAATGCAAAGGATGACAGCTGAGCGAATTTACTTCCGATTATTTCTGCTGTCGCATCGAAAGTGACTAATCAGTGATTTGAATTCTCTAGACTCAAAACCTACATAGCATTTCGTTTCACAATCACAATGGTGGTGTAAAATCGTAGATAGGAGATACCAACCAACCACAGGGTATTAAAAAACCTTTCATGAAGCAACACAACTACTGAACAACACTGAATTAAACTGTAAAAAACATGCTACACTAGATGAAACATGATCAACATACCACAAATGAAAAAAACAAAACAGAAAATTTCGATTACGACTTAAGGTAACTCTACTGATGAGCAGCATTTAAGTACGTCAACGATTTCACGAGTTATTCCATCCACTAATAATATACATTTGCATCAAAAATGAAATCCATTCCCATGATGAAATTACAATGGTAAAATAATATAATATACCTACCTACCTTAACAATTAAAATAATTTTCCATGAAACTAAAACTAACAAAATTTAACAGTACATATTTTACACATTTGAAATCATTAATCAATCATTATCGTTAGACCACCATTAGAAACCTGGAAGCACTGGACGGCCGTTTCGTCCTAGTATGGGACTCCTCAGCAGTGTGCATCCACGACTCCTGCTCCTCGCAGGACTCAAACCCGGGACCTTTGGCATTGTAGGCGAACGCCTTACCACCGGACCACTGGGCCGGCATCCAACGGTGTTAATGTCTAACTCTGATTGATCTAGGGATTTTGCGCGACCTCACCCATTTGTCTTTGGTAGTTACTGCCTACACCCGACAGGGTTGAACTCCACTGGTCACGTCTTCTCAACTAGAACTCCGAGAATTTCCTCACGAAGCTAGTCACTAGTGAGCACTGTTACATTATATTGGGGCACAGTTTTTGGAGGTTTGCGTTTTTACACATTTGAAATCATTAATCAATCATTATTGTTAGACCACCATTAGAAACCTGGAAGCACTGGACGGCCGTTTCGTCCTAGTATGGGACTCCTCAGCAGTGCGCATCCACGACTCCTGCTCCTCGAAGGACTCGAACCCGGGACCTTTGGCATTGTAGGCGAACGCCTTACCATCGGACCACTGGACCGGCATCCAACGGTGTTAATGTCTAACTCTGATTGATCTAGGGATTTTGCGCGACCTCATCCATTTTGTTTCACCAAATCAACTAGCCAACACGTTAAAACCAATACACTTTGGATTGGAAATTTCGCCTGACCAACCAATTTCAGTTACGACAATCAATGAAAACCAGGACAAAATAGTTGTTTACTAGTCTTTGTAGCTTTTCAGTACTCATCTAATTCAAATAAATTCGTAATGCGAAACTGTAAACTCATAAATCTTCACAACACCAACATATATATAAATATATATATATATATAAATATACCTCAGTAAGTGCAATTAAATTGTCAAATTTGTAGACTCTGTAACTAAAATTCATGTATTCAAACCACTGAACTATTGAAGAAAATGACAAGACGGTGAATCCAGTTTCTTATATGCTAATATTTTTAAAAATCAATTCGTTCTTCAGGCGCTTTGATATGAATGTGAAATATGTTGCTCAAATCGAAATAGGCTAGAAGTGATTGGAACCTGTGACTTAGGGGGTTGAAAGTTGAATGTGAGTGCAACTGAACACCATTTAACAACTATTGATTATTATTATTATGAAACAGATATTTCATATGGGATTGGTCAGCAGTGAATACTGAATCCAGAGAGCCTTCAGAACTTAGAACTATTGGACAGGTGTCTATTGATACAATTCCAGTTTCAATCGATATGCCATATATAATGTGTGGTCATTGAATTTCATAAGTAACAGTTGTTTAGCTCTCAATATGATGTTATTAGCTTGTACAGACTTATTTACACGTGTTGAAAAACTTACTCAATAAGAGTTTGCTAACGAAATTAAACAACTTATATATTTGTTTTTATTATGTATACATAATACTTACTTTAAGTAGATCAGCTCTGGAACGAAAAGGCCCAATTTGAGAACGATAAGTCAAAATTGCTTTAGCTTTCATTTCAGATAAACCAGAAACACGTGATAAAATATGCAAAGGAGCTGCATTCACATCAACACCAACGAAACTTATACATTCTTCCATAACATTATGAACAGTGGAAACTAATTGACGTTCTGGTATATCATGCTGATACATACCAACACCTAAATGTTTCGGTTCAAGTTTGACTAATTCAGCTAAAGGATCTTGTAGACGTCTAGCTATGGATACTGCACCACGAAAACTAACATTTAAATCTGGCAATTCTGTACAAGCTAAATTTGATGCACTGTAATACGAAGCACCACATTCACTTACAACAGCATAACGAACATTTAATGGCTTAAAATGTTGAATTTGTATTAAATGCGCTAACCAAGAACCAGTTTGTCGACTACCTTGACCATTACCAAGAGCTATTGTTTCAATTCTGAAATAAAATAAATACAATACAAATTAGTAGCATTTTCCTAGCACCACGATAAGGCCATTCTTAATACCATATAATCCATATCAAGTAATCAAATTGAAGCATACTTATTTACGGGATACTGGAAGATTCTTATGTGGATTCTACACAAACTCTGACGTTTTTAGTCCCCAAACACCCTAATAGAAACGATGATGGAGCAAGTACAGTAGTGTACTGTTTCAAGTCAAACACCAATTATGCAAAATGTTGCTTCAAGACTGGGTTGCATCGGCACCTGAACTAGTGATAGGGAGTGAAGTAGTCGAACGTGTTGATCACTTCACTTATCTGGGGAGTCTCATCAGCGCTGATAGCCTGGTGACTGACGAAATCTCAGCTCGGATACAGAAAGCTCGATTGGCTTTTGCCAACCTGCGTCACCTATGGCGTAGGCGTGATACCCGTTCGCTAACCAAAGGACGAGTGTACTGCGCAGCAGTTCGCTCTGTTCTCCTATACGGATGCGAAACATGGCCGTTAAGAGTAGATGTTCGTAGGTTACTAGTATTCGATCATAGATGTTTAAGAAGCATTGCTCGTGTATCATGGGACAACCGAGTTAGCAATGCTGTCGTTAGGAAACGAGTACTAGGTAAGGACGGCAAATCAATAGATGAAGTAGTGAAACTTCATCAGTTGAGGTGGTTGGGACATGTGTTACGAATGCGTAACCACCGACTGCCTCGATGAGCTATGTTTTGTAGTGTAGGAGTAGGTTGGAAGAAAACTAGGGACGGCCAGACCAAAACATGGCAGAAATCCATGAAGTCACTGACATGTGGACTGGGTCATGTTGGTAGATGTAGACTACCTGGTTGGGGTCCGCGAGACGAAAGTCATCAATGGTTAGAGACCTTGAACGACATGGCTCAAAATCGTTTTCAATGGCGCAAGTGCATCCATTCTTTGAGCTCTCTCAAATCCTAATCTTCTGGATTCGTCAGCACCTCTACCTTTGTCTTTCTAACCTTATCTCACTGAATTATATTTCTTGAATAATGTCTTCGAACCCTAGTCTTCTTCATTACCATTAATACCTCTACTATCTTTATCACTATGGGATTTGATTTGACATTTGCGTCTCTGTGCTAATGTGGTATGGCAACATGAACTTATGTACATACGTACGAAGTTCTTACGTTGCAACTGACTGACCAATTATAAGGGTAATCAAAAATACTAAGTTGCCTAACTCGAATTGAGTAAAGCATGATGAGAAACTACGATTTGGTGGCTTGAAGTCAAACACCTTAAACACTGAGATATCGTTCAAACGAACCAATTATGAGACTACATTGCAGGCCATCAGATAAAGTATGAACAGTTAAGACTTCAGATAATCATAGGGATAAAAAGTTCAAAAATCCACATCAACATGGAAGAAGAAGAAGAATTCTTACTGGTGACGCTGCATAACTGCAGTCAATGCGCCCAAACCATTATTATTCATCGGTCCATTTTGCATGCTCAATTTTTTCGGTGGGACAGCAGCCAATGTATGCGGTGGCCATAAGATACCTGTGCTTAAAACATTCCCATGAGGATCACATGCAGCCCATTTACAACCGTTTCTCCAGCCTGGATCTAATCCAATCACAGGAAGACGATCACCTGGCGCACCAGATGCTGAAGATACCATCCCAATATCATTGTCACTATTTCCTGTGGAGTGATTTGATGAAACTGGAATACGTAACGGTGCAGTCATTAAGAGGCGTCGAAGATTCTCTGCAAATACTTCGACAGATGCGTCTTGAGCTGAAGTTGTTAATTTAGAGCTATTTCAATGAAAAGATAAACAATGTTAGAAAATCTGCACTAAAGATCGATATGGCAATGATGGAAAGATATTTTAAAAAACATTCATTATGTCTAATCTGATAATTCTTTAAACCCAACATCTAAAAGAAGCTTACCTGAAAGATCACTCTCTAGATATTCATGAGGCATTTTTATAAAGCTAGTTATATTGAACTAATACTGCAAGAGTAAATGACATTAGTATTGCTTTAAAAATTTGAATCGATAAATTTAGCTGATGTGTTAAACAATTGAATAGGCTACATATATAGAATATATAGCAGATGGATGACAGTGGAATGTAGTCCACATTCAACCTATTTTATATAAAGTTGTGATATAATGACTATATCAAGGCTATCGGCATGCGAACACATATGCCAAGCAAGACTGATTAAATTTCAGTCAAATTATCTACAACAGGGATAATCCAAATCATTTCAAAATTGAATTGAATAGACTGCAGTCAAAGTTCATGACATTATTCAAATATACACAACATGCAAAGAAAAGTGGGTAAAACAACGCATCCTGACAGAGAAGTGAGCCCAATCAAATCGAAACACTTGAAAATGACATAGATGAGGCAGCAAACTGTAAGATTAAAACATTACAAAACATTACAACATGTGTGATATTTAAATCAGTCTGTTGTTGTTATTCTGTTCCTTTAACAATCTTCATTGTTTGACTATAATAATTTCCACATATCATATGCACAAACAACATTTTGGTGTATTACCTATTAATGCTGAACTTAACACACTTGTTACTCATTATTATTTTGTTCATAGTGCCTTCATTAAATTATCTTTATATAACTATTGCAGAAAGAATTTTGGTTACTTGATTGTACTTTAACGAGTGCAGATATCCTAGACACTTAATAAAATGAGATATGTTAGCAACACTGAGTATAATGTCAGTAATAACAGTACAGTTTTACAAACAGGTACAGTGCTCGATATGAGACCTCAAGATCCTGAATTCAACTGTCTGTGGTCGAGTACTGGATATATACTGTCCAGAAGTCACATAGTGGTAAACAGCAATTGTCAAGTGATTACTGATTTCTAATGAATGTTACGTTAAAATGATTTCGTAATGTGAACTACTGGGAAAATGTGTTGTTTATATTTGTGATTGTAAATATGACGCAAGCTCAAACTGATGTAACATTATTTTTATAAAGAATTCATGAAAGTAAGAAAAACATCATTATCTTACCGTATGCTACGCACTAAAAACGGTTCAATTAAGCGTTTCCAAGCATCGTTAAACGCTGACATTACAAAATCCCAATGAATACGATTAGTAGTAGAAAAATATTTTTGAGATACAAATGTTGCACAATTATGTTGTACCTGTGGTGATAAGTGAATTTTTACACTAATCACACCTCTTTCATTAGCCCGATTAATAGCTAATATCTAAATATGTATTTGTTAAAGAACAAAAATGGATTTTTAGCGCCATTATTATTGATGATAATAATAAAAATAAAACCATTGGCGATGCCTTGATTTCTGGCGAGATAACGTGACCAATGAGGTGTGAGACAATAGAATAACATTAGCATTGAAAATTGATTCCTCATTAACACGAATTGATTAAACTTAGAAATGCAAACTATACAGTTTCAATTCAGTGATCTAAAGAGAAAGCCCGACCACCGTGACTGCTGACGGCCCTGCAATCGAAGTCGTGGATGCTCACCAGTGAGGAATCAAGCAATAGGACGAAACATTACTTTAATATTGTCTGATATACAGTCGTTGTTTAAATAAGGTCAGTCCGGAATGTACTATAAAAAAGTTGAGCTCCGCCAAAAGTCACAAGACCAAAGCACCTTCGGACAACCAGAGCAATCATTATTTTAGTAAATGGAATGTTCAAACAATGTGAGAGACCGGAAGACTTCCAAATTGCTGCAGAGATGAAAAGATACAACCTGAAAGTACTTGGAATAAGTGAAACGCATTAGACGCAGGTTGAACAACTAAGACTAGCTTCAGGAGAGCTGCTGATATACTCCAGCCATGAAGAAAAAAATACTACCCATAAACAAATAGATGAATTCATACTAACCAAACAAGCGCAAAAAACACTGATATGGCGGGAGTCTCATGGAGCCACAACCCTGGAAAGCTCAACGAATTCAACATAGCCCTCAACAATAGGTTCCAGGTTTTTTACGATCTACTCATTGTAAAGGAAACTACCATCGAGAACGATTGGAAAAACATCATGGAAGCAATAACTTCAGCATATGAGGAGGTTCTGGGCCACAGGCAGTACCATCACAAGAAATCGATCTCTGTCGATACCCTTGAAAAAATTCAAGAAACGAGGAACTAGAAGGCTTCAATCAACATTAGCTGAACAAGAGAAGACAAAGCCAAGAAACAAGCTGAATACACAGAAGCAAATGAGCAAGTGAAGAGGTGCATAACAGCCGACAAACGTAAATATGTGGAAAATTTAGCAATGACGGCAGAAAAGGCTACAAGAAAGGGAAACTTGAGACAATTGTATGATACAACGAAGAAGCTCGCTGTAAATGATCGTAAAGCAGAACAACCAGTGAAAAATAAGGAAGGCAAAGCAATCACCAAAATTGAACAATAGCGAAACAGGTGGGTAGAGCACTTTAAGGAACTCTTGAATCAACCAGCTCCACTGAACCCACCCAACATCGAAGCAGCACCTGCAAACTGCCAATCGATGTAGACCCACAAGCAATCGAGGAAATCAGCATGATCATTTGACAAGTTAAGATCGTCAAAACAGCGGGACTAGATAACATTTCAGCAGAGGCAATGAAAGCAGACCTGGCAGCAACTGCAAAGATATTCCACACTCTCTTCAACAAAATTTAGGAGGAAGAACAAGTACTAACAGACTAGAAAAAAGGATACCTGATCAAAATACCAAAGAAAGGCGATCTCAGCAAGTGCGAGAACTACAGAGGCCTCACTCTCCTCTCAATACCAGTAAAAGTCTTCAACAGGGTTGTTAAACAGAATCAAAGACTTCATAGACGCTCAACTTTCAGATTAACAGGTTGGATATCGAAGCATCAATCGTGTGCCGACCAAACTGCAACATTACGGATCATCATGGAACAATCAATTGAATGGAACTCACCACTGTACATCAACTTCATCGACTACGAGAACGCATTTTACAGTGTGGACAGGGCAACACTACGGAGGCTTCGTCGACACTACGTTGTGCCTGAGAAGATAGTCAACATCATATGGTATTCCTACGATGGATTAAACTGCAAAGTCGTGCGCGGAGGACAGCTGACAGACTCGTTTGAAGTGAAGACCGGTGTCAAGCAAGAAAAGCACAGTATACAGTAGACAGCTGGGATGCAGCTGGATGATCTGGGCTTCGCAGATGATCCGACTCTTCAATTGCAGACGTAACAACAAACGCTAGAAAAGACGACTAATGTAGCAGCAGGTCTCAACATACACAAGATGAAAAGCGAGATTCTCCGATACAACACAACATGTGCCAACCAAATCACTCTTGACGCTGAAGCTTTCGAAGATACAAAAACCTTTACATATTTGAGCAGCATCATTGATGTGCAAGGTGGACTTGATGCAGATGTGAATGTGGGGATCGGCAAAGCAAGGATAGCATTTCTACAACTGAACATCATATGGAACTCGAAACAACTTTCAACAAACACCATAGTCAGTATTTCCAACACAAATATCATGACAGTTCCACTGTATGGAACGGATACTTAGAAAATTACTAAAGCCATCATCCAGACAATTCAAGTGTTTATTAACAGTTATTCCCGCAAAATACTTCGGATTGGTTGTCCAAACATCATCAGCAAGAACGTACTGTGTGGAAGTACAAACCAGATTCCAGCGGAGGAAGAAATCCGGAAGGAGTGCTGATAGTGTATAGGATATATATTGTGTAAAGCAGCCAACTGAGTTATCTAGTAACAGTTGTCAGGACGAGCAGTTTATGAGGTCTAAGAATATATCGAATGCTGACCGTCAGAGAACTTGTGACCCCTCATCCACCACAACTGCATTTGATTAGTTTCATTTGGCTAATGTGCATCCTGTGCGCATTACATCGATAAAGCAATCAAGTCGCAAGCATTATAAGCAAAGGTGGATGGTAGGAGAAGATTAAAATTATCAATACAATGAATGAATGAACGAAAATTGGACAGAAGTAGAAAGGAAGGCCCAGAATAGAGTAGGTAAGAGAATGCTGGTCGGTGGCCTATGCTCCATTTGGAGTGACCTTAGCTAACCACTAAGCAGTTGTTTCACCTTACTCTATGACATCGAAGCATCGCGCATCCACTACCTTACTGGGAAAATCCAGAGCCTTCAGATCTGACAGCAACCGTTTGGCCTTCATATCACTTAGTCGGTTATCAGATGACTTCAACTTTAACTAATAGGCATTATTGAGTAAACATCTTCAAATGCCATTGATGAGTTATTACTTCGCATCTAACATTCAATCGGTTAGGCTTTCTCACTAAGACTCTAGGAATTAGCTCTCAAAATTGGTGATCAAGAGTTTCGTACTAAGACGAAACAGATGTTTAATGGCTGTCAGTCATGCAAATTGTGAAATTCAGTATTCTTCACAAACTCTCTTTCGTATTAATCTTATATTTGCTTGAAGCTTCGTAACTTTACTACCTATAACTACTTCGTGTTAGGATAAGTGGTTAGCCACTAATCGGCGCAAGTATCAATCCTCCTTCACTTGTTTAGGCTTCAGTAATCAGATAGTGCTACTAGCCTTATGCTTAAGGCGTAGTTCTAAACTAAATACGTGAATCTGTATCTCATAATAAATAAAATCAATTTTAAACTTACCTGATGTGCTAGAACTGATGAAACTGAACGAGAAAAATTTAAATAATTTTTAAATGTAATCAAATCATCTTTTCTAAAATTATTATTAGTATTATTCATAGAAGAAGATGAATTTTGAGCGCAATTAACATCCTCAACATTCTCATTCGCATCATCATCATCATCATCAATAGACATAAAGTTTGGAAGAGTTTCTCCTGATGAATGTTCAACAACTTTTTTATCACGTTTTAACTTCTTGGTTGTGACAAGTGTAGCACTGTATTTGGAACATCTAATATGGACAAGAATAATTACAAATACATAATGATAAATAAATATTTAAAAAATTTTTAATACATTTTTTAATGACTAGTCAATTTATGCATTAGTTTAAAACATGTATAGGTATAAACCAATTTAATAAATAGTAAATACTAGGATTATGAAGATAATATTACTTTTTTTTTTCTTCATTTATTTAACGGACATTATTGACTTGTATTCCCCTTTAAAAATACATGAATGATCCTCAGGCAACAACTGTGATCAGTAGTTGGCGACTTTAGGTGGCATGACTCAGAATTGTTTACAATGGCGCAGACGTATTTATTCTTAATATCCTTCTTAATTTCATATTCCAACATTCTTTCATACGAACTCTCCGCTCTGTCATTTTAATCCATACTATTCATGTTCAGTTTGTCTCATTCTCATTGCTATTATGTTATTTCGCACTATTTTTTTTATATGTTCACTACATCGAGCTAATCAGAGATGGCAACTTGGGCCAAAATATATCTGTGAATGGTTTCCTCTCGATAATTCAATCATAACACTATAAAAAATAAAGTTTATCGGTTTAATTGAACATTGGTAAGACCTATTTTATTTATATCAATTTAATTGATTAAAACCGTCAGGTTGTACAGTACCCAAATCAGTCGACTACTGCTGATAAAAATATTTTTGGTCTGAATCATTGACAATTTCGAATTGGAAAAATGGTTTTAAAAATATTATAAATAAATAAAATTGACTTACAATTCTTCAGCTTTTCGAATAATATCTAAATCCTTAGCAAAAATATCAGCAATTATATGAGAAACAGCATCTTCAATGGCCGTTTTCGATGTAAACGTCTCTATAGTAAACAAACAAAAGACAAAATTCCATATTCATATCTTCTTGTTACCAATATCGAAAAATGCTATTCAGGGGGAGTAAAGAGTATTTTTTTGAAAACCGTTTTGAACATTGAGTGAATGGACTACACCAGTTTTGTATTGAAATTTAGAATGTATTATGTCATGATCAATATGAAATAATGACAGCAATGCTTTATATATACAGGCTGAGGTATTCGGAACTCGGCCTGAAGCCATTCTAAAGCTATTGCCAACCCCAAGCCCGGAAAAAGGAGAACTGTGTATGAGGTTAGTGAACTCACCCAGTAGAAAGCAAGCTTGCTAAAATACCGCTAACCACGAAAAGTCATTTAAACCATTTAACCTCTACCGCGGGAGTTGGAAAGTTTTCATTCAGAAGAGTTATAACATCTATAAGAGTATTGTTTGAAGTCACAAGGATGATGCTCCTCTTGAAAACCAGAGCAACCATTAATCCAAGTAAATGGAATGTTCGTGTAATTGAGGAGACTGGAAGAACTATTCAAGTTGTTGCAGAAATGAAAAGATACAACCTGGTGATTCTGGGAACAAGTGGAACCCATTGGACGCAGACTGGACGAAAAAGAATCGCCACAGGAGAGATGCTGTATTACTCCTGCTAAGAATAATAAAATGCGACGCACACAAAAGTAGCTGCATTTATGCTGTCCGAAGAAGCACAAAAAGCACGTATAAGATGGGAGTTTCGTGGATCTCGGATCATCAAACCATACTTCAAGACAAAGACGAAATTACAATGAATGTCATCCAGTACTATGTGCCTACCAACGACAGCAAAAAAGACAATAAAGGTCCACTTAATGAAGGCCTGCAGTCAATCGTACAAGTGCCCAGCAAAGGACCTGACCGTCCTGGCGTGGAAAAGATATCACGAGTAATCGTATACTAACGACAGCATTGCTTATTCGGTTGTCCCAAGATATACGAGCAATGCTTCGGAGACACCTGTGATCAAAGACAAGCAATCTACGAATGTCCTCTACTCTCACCGGCCATGTTTCGCATCTGTATAGTAGGACGGAGCGAACTGCTGCACGGTACACTCGTCCTTTGGTTAGCAAACGGATATCTTGCCTGCGCCATAGGTGACGAAGGTTGGCAAAAGCCAATCGAGCCTTCTGTATCCGAGCGGAGATTTTGTCAGTCATCAGGCTATCGGCACTGATGAGACTCCCCAGATACGTTCGACTACTTCACTCCCTATCACTAGTTCCGGTGAAGTCGCAAGCCAGTCGTGAAGCAACATTTTGCATTTCGAGGGGGAAAACCGCATCCCGAATATGCTTGCATTGTTGCTCAGGGTGGTCAGAAGACGTTGCATTTTGTCAGAGTCTTCACCAAATAGAACTATGTCATCAGCATACTCCAAGTCGGCAAGCATGCCTCCTGGTAGAAGGTCTACTTCTCAAGATTCAGACGATGATAATGTTATATCTAAAAGCTTGTCTACGACAAAGTTAAAGAAGGATGGAGAGAGTGGACATCCCTGACGGACAACACTTGAAGTAAAGAATTCCGATGACAGTTCGCCATAAGCTCTCACTCGACCAGTGGTGTTCGAGTAGAGAGCTTGTATAAGGTTAATGTACTTCTTTGGTGCACCTTTCAATGACAGACACTGCCACAGAACCTCGCGACCAACAGAGTCAAATGCCGCTTTACGGTCGAAATATACAACTTTTGTGGAGCGTCTGAACGCATGTCTTTGTTCTAAGACCTGACGTAGTGTGAAAATTTGGTCTATACATTCACAACCAGGTCTGAAACCAGCCTGGTTTTCTCTAGTCTGCTCTTCACGAGCTTTCTTCAAGCGTCGGAGTATTATTGAGGCCAATATTTTAGACAAAAGAGTGCGTAGCGAAACAGTGTGAAGCGAAGGCGAGTGGGCTAACTCAATGTGATGAAGCATAATTAAGTGTTTATAATCAGACAAAAATAAGCTAGACATGTGATAGGAGAAGTAATCAATGCGCACGTAGTCAAATAAAAACAACTAATATTATGAGAAAACAACTAATAAGGTTGAAACATGTGTGGATAATGACTACAGTAGAGTGGATTATTTAGCTCGTCTGAAAGCTAGAACTGGCCATATATGCCTGAAGTATTAGTGCACAGTACAACCTCAACAGGTGAGTAGAGCACTTTGAAGAATTTCAATAGAACAACCCCTCTCAACCCACCTAACAGTGAGGCAACACCTACAGATCTTCCTATTTCACGCCACGATTAAAGGGGGAAGTCAGTACGACCATCAGACAAATCAAAAGCGGTAAAGAAGCGGGACCAGATAACATAATAGCTGAGGCATTTAAAGCAGGCACAGAAGTAACTGTAAGGATTCTTTACGTTCACTTCAGCAAGACTTGAGAGGAAGAACAAGTATTAACAGACTGGAAAGGACACCTCATCAAGATACCAAAGAAAGGAAACCTTAGCAATTGTGAGAACTATAGAGGCATCACTCTACTATCAATGACACGAAGTCTTCAACAGAGTGATGCTAAACCGAATAAAATATTCAATAAACGCTTAAGTTCGAGATCAGCAAGCTAGGTTCCGTAAAGATCGATCGTGAACCGACCAAAGCGCGACACTATGGATCATTGTGGAACAATAAATTGAATGGGACTTGCCACTGTACATCAACTTCCTTGACCACGAGAAAGCATTTGAGAGACGACAATATGGAGGCCTCTCTGACACTACCGCGTGCCTGGTAAGATAGTCAACATCATACGAAATCCTTACGACGGACTTCACTGAAAAATCGTGCATTGAGGGCAGCTAACAGACTTATTCCAAATGAAGAACGGTGTCAGACTAGGCTGGCTGCGCTAACTTGGAGTCCTCAGGACCAAAGAAAGAAGGGACAGACCAAAGAGCACATTGTGCCAGGGATCGGAGGAATGCATCAAAAGTAATAGCAACCGAGAAAAACGGGAATGGAGTGTGCGCGACAGAGCTTGTTGGAGGACTGTGGTTGGTGGCCTACGATCCTCAGGGCGCAATAGGCGTAAAGTATTCGAGGTCAATGTACGCTTAATGTGAATGGTAGTGATACTATCCAGCTGCCAAAACCAAAGTATAAAGGCCGAGGCTCAAACTACAGTGTCGTATGCTACAAGAATTATGCCAAAGATCTAATGCCTGTCAGTGTCTTGATCCTATTCGAATGTTCGCATTTTAATGGAAACGAACAGTCTGTTCAGCCTATGTAGTTGTGTGACCGTGGATAACGATCGCACAGTTAGCTAGACTAATGTTGGATGAAAACAGATGACTTTGGGGCATTAAATACAATACCCCTTACTTTTATGGTGAATTTCAAGTAAATAGATGGACTATTAACGAACTACTAACTTATTTTCATTAACTAAACTTGTTATTTAGATGTTCATAGTTTAACAAGCAGACCATATTACCATTGATAATCAAAATCAGGCATTTTTTGTTTCCTGTCGTTTGAATTCTGTGTTAACCATGACAAATGCAGATTACGAACGAACCTTTTGGTATTAACTCAAAAATATTTGACAACAGGTTTCTATGGAGATAAATTTGAAGTTTGGAAACAATTTTCCCTTTTTACTTCAAAAGAATGTGAGTTCAGATTTATAATTTATGAAAAACATTAGTTAATATGGTCCCTAATTGCTAGAGCAAAGGACTAAGATGTCATCCCATAACTTTTGTTATGAATACTCATAACCATATACTAAAATGTTAGTTGGAGATCAATCATAACCACTGGAGACAAAATACCTAAAGCCTGGAATTTAATTAGTAACTTGGATCGTAAATGTAATTTTTATTTAACTTTGGAATTGATAACCTCAAGACAGTACGAAAGTTCTGCCGGAGTTCTTTAAATGTAAGCTCAATACTCTTGAGGATTCAACATAATGTTTTTTCAATAACTAAACATAACTTTATATTCTTTTGAATTTGATTTCACACAATTAAATCTCTATTCGAAGGCATCAACGGTTTGTCGCCTTGAAACAAAAAAATTTGTTAAGCCAAAACATCCCCATAAGATCTTTTAATGAAATATGAGTATTCGAAAAATGATTTAATAAGCTTACTTTTGGCTTCTGGAGGTGCCTGACCATATATATCAACAAACTTATTTGAATGAAGTATATCCAAAGCAAGAGGTTCCAGATTGACAGCTTTTGCTCGACCTGCGAGAGTGCGCGGACCCTTAGACTTGAAGGGATCTGTCTAATAAAATCCTATTAAAGATTAAAATCCTGTTGACTTGCCAGGAGCTTAATATCTTCAGTTGTTTTGCATTTCATCAACTGTTGCGATAATTCATTGGTTAATAATCCATTTTTATCAAAAAACTGGAGTGACTTTTCGATTTTATCAACAAGCACTCTAAAAGTATTTATTCTAAGAAAAGTAAAGTCATAGTTACTTGCAGTCGTTCATCTTTTCCTTCAGCCTATGTAACACAGTTGGTTCTGCACCCCCAGTTACTTCTTTTCGATAGCGTGCAATAAATGGCACAGTATAGCCATTCTCGAACATTGGAATTACACGGCTGACTAGAGTACGATCAATGTTTGCAGCTTCCGACACTTGAGTAGTTAAGTCGATCTCCATTTTTATAGGGTTACCCATCTAGAATCACATAAAACAAGATACTGATTTTATGTGAATCATATATCACTGGAAAACATAAAGCTCAGATCACATTTAAATACAGCCATATAGTCAGGTGAGTTTTTGTGTTAACTTTGAATACGGAAGTGTTTGCCGAAAAATTCGAGAAAAAAATAAACGACTGAGTACAGACGACAAGGCCCTTGGGTCTGCGAAGCAGAGTAGCATTAACTTTTGACTGTCTGGAATTAAATAAGTTACACAATCATGATTAATTCAGGCATTGTAATTTACCCAACCGTATACTCTGACCGAGCATTTGGCCGTCACATTAATTAATTAGACTTTATTAGCTGGCATGTGCTTTGTAATGCAGTTAGGCTTATTGAGGTATATGCGGATCTTTATAATGCTTTGGTTTGTTTCTCGATCTGTATATATGTCAATCCTGTCCTGTTGTTAATCTAACTTGAGATGCACTTTCTTAAACTTCAGATACATCGTTTTAATTAAGACGATTTATAAAATATAATTCCAGATGGTTACAACTCTAGTACAATTGCTGGATATCCCATTAAAATTCTAATTCCAAAACCAATACGGTAATTTTTATTTCGTGCGTTATTTCAGTATTATTATTATTGTCGGTGCACACATCAGCTACTCGGAGTACTTATATACACATCCAATAATATTACTATTTGAGTCCTTGGCCTACTTGATGTAATCCATACAGAATATCGATACAAGCACAAAACCAATATGTATATGAGACTTCTTGATTAGCTACGAAAAGGTAACTCGAATTTATGAGTAACACTGGTGCAGCTTCATTTACAGAAAATATGGGGTGGTTCAGACTTTTAGGCCTTTTATTTCATTTTAGTGACATTAAACCAATTCTAAGCAATACAATGCATTTGCTTAGGTAATGATGTAGCGTAAAGGGCCTGAGTACTATAAAGTACGGAGGACAAATAGTTGAATATAGTTTACCAACGTTATTATATGAACCTTGTTTGAGGTGAACACATACACAGAAGTCTTGTAAGATCGCTCATAATACTAATTGGAGTCTGGTAAGGAATCCACGAATGTGGACATTTTCACGACACGTGTTGCCCATAGAAATCAAAAATCGCTAATCAATACCAACACACTCCTGAACACTGAGTAAGTTCTGCACATATTAGGCTTCATTACAGTTCAGCAAGACTGTAATATGCCATAAGATATTGTGCCCAAGCAACTAATAGATGGGAAATAAAGTGGACAACGGAGTAGATAGTGTAGGGAGCAAGACGAATTCATAGTTTTTTCTCCTATCCTAAACCTTCAGATAACTCAGCTTTTCAATAGCTGGTGAAAATAACCCCATAGAATTAAGTGAAGTCGTAAGTCTACCTTCACTGGTTATCTGGATGGAATCAGCACCTCGCGATGCCCTTGAGGTCGCTGAGCGCACAACTTGACTTCGATATT